ATAGGTAGGAAAAGGCCTAAGTGTACAAAGTGAACTTTCAAAGGGAGGTGGACTACAAAGAATCACTTAATAACCAAGCCTTATCTAGTAAAAATCACTAAGCCTTTTTCCACTTTTCTTACAAAAACAAGTTGGCACAATCAATAAGGTGAGTGTGTGCACATTACCCCTAGTAGGCAAAAGCCTTCTAAACGTAATTGGAGCAAAGATAAAAACCCTAACAATTATACTACCAAAAACTATAAAGCATGCAAAAGAAAAACACTTAAAACATATTCTAGTCGAGGTCCTAGGTGAAGGTTTTCAAATCACCTTCAACTACACGAACTAAAACCAACTTGAAGAGGTTTAGAAATGGCCAAATTACAAACCAAAGGAAAGAAACCAAGGCCTAAAAACACAAAAGGCCGAAAGCAAAGAAATCAAGTAAAATTGATGAAAAACAAAAATTTAGGTCTTCAAACTCCTCCACTTGGTTCCTTCACAAAGAGAAAACTCGTTAGTCCTCTCCAAGTGTTTAGACACTCCTTTTGTTTTGGTGTATCTCCCTCCAAAGGCTAGGTTTCGATTTGGTTCACTCCTCCACTCAAATCCACCAAAGGTGTGAAAGTTTGCTAGAGTGGTTCTTCACCTACAAACAAAATGAAACCAACCCAAGAGCAAGAGTCCAAGAAATAAAACTGAAAAGGCACAATTAGGAAGGCTAAACTCAAAGAGAATTGATGGAGACAAAACAAAAGAGGCCAAAGAAAAGACAAACTAAAAATTAAGACTCAATCAAAATAGGAAGCACACAAAAGATTAATTCTAGAAAGGCACTAGAGTGGATTAGTGTTTAAGCTCACTTGATTAAGTCTTTTAGTGATTCGGTCCAGCCACTTCTATGGTCTCAAAATGGGTTCAAAAATGTCACAAGTCCAACTCCAAATGCTTAGGTAAAAGTCCAAGTCCACAAGTCTAGCAACAAGTCCTTTTTGGTCCAAATTTTTTAGATACTATATTTTCCTCTCACACAACAATCCTTTAAAATCCTTATATTTTTGAATACCAATGGATTGTTTTTAAGTTGTAAAAAATCTCAAATGAATACCAGTGGATTTTAATGGACTCTTTAAAAAATCTTCAAAATCCAGATTGAATACCACTGGATTGTTTTTAAGTGACATAAAATCCTGATTGAATACCAATGGACTTTTTTACTCAAAAAAAGTCTTTTAAAATCCTACGAAATCCTAAACCAATACACCCCCCTTAGAATAATTTTATACATAAAGTTGAATTAATATTGTTTGAACATCAACACAAAAGAGACAATGTTAAAAAAAATTAATAACATAGATTAAAAAGATTATAAGATTATAAGTATGGAGACTAAAAAATCCATATGAAATTACATGGATTGAAAAGTATTAAAAAATAAATACAAGGACTAAAAATGTGTATTTAAAATTATAAGAATTGAAAAGTAAAATAAGTGAAACTAGAGAGACTAAAAATATATTTTAACTTTTATATTTTAAAAAAACTTATCACTATATTTTTTTAATAAATTTAATATTTATATATATGTTATTTTATATTATATTTTTTTTACTTATATATAAAAGTATACATATAT